ATTCAAGCATGGAATAGATTGTCGCGATTTGGTGTAGATATCAGTGTCCACTATTACTTACATAGGCTCTATATCTGATATTGAAGACGTTAACACATAAATATAGCATACCTTTTTAGATACATTCTTTTCATCTATATGCAGATTTTTATCTATCAATCCAACAGATTTTTATCACTTTATAAGTTATTTATAAAGGATACCCGTAATTTATTAGACGCTCCATTTACTTATGAAACTGTATATTTCTTCGTTTTCGTCTGCTCGCCTTAATATTCGAGAAATCTTATCACAGATAAATATACACTTTCCGGCTGAATTCGAAAATGCGTCCCTCGAATATTCCTCGTATTTTTAATAAGATTTCTCGAATATTCACTTAGACAAAAAATGAATATACTGTTTTATATACAGATGGAACGTCTACTCAAATGTGAGTGTACACTAAATTTGAGTATCTACCTTTAAAGTGATATACATAAATATATGCTGCTCGTGTTTTGAAAATAAAATATTCTTATAACTAGACACATACATAAAAACCCAGAGTGAAGACATTTTAACGGCGTAAAATTGGGAGTTATAATATTATGAAATGTAGGATAGATAACAGCTATGAGGAAGAAGCTGTCTGAGTGAGACATCTTCCTTAAAAATGGAACTAAAGAAAATGAGGATGAATGTAATCTGCGTGTGTTCCAATCCGTAAAGATATCTTAACTGGAGGAAAATTATCTCGCCTGCTCAGGAAAATGGCGACAGTTTAGAGAGACGTCAGCATTTATTCGTTTGTAGTAATGCTGCGTAAACCCTTAGACATTGGATTTTTTGTCTGAACTGGATCTTGTCCAGATAGAACATGTTGTATTTTCTGAATGGAAAATAGTTAAATATTATACCTTTCACAACCAGATGGCTTCTTAAAAATTTCCCAAACAGAAAAACGAAAGGAATAGACAAAGATGGTTATCGTCTTGCGTATTTCGATATACTACACCCGGCAGCGAGCGTTCTGATCAAGAGATTGGAAATTTTGAGGGGCGTGGAATCACTTTTTAATTGCTGTTGCTCCCATGTCCATTCTTACCAAGGGTGGTAGCACCTGTTAGGGTCCAAGCTATCGGTAAGTAATAAACAGAAAACCAAATGTAACAGTATTTTTTTTACAATATACTGACAAACAATGCATTTCTATAGACAAATGACAATGTAACAATAAAAAATACATTTTTATAGTAAAATTACCAACACTACATGTTATGATCTACAAAATATATATCTAAACATATTTTTTATTATGAAAGTATAAGGTTATGGACAAAATATTTGTATTTGAATGCATAAAATTGCATTCAAAATATATATAGCTGAAGCCATAAAATTGTGTACAAAGCATTTAGATTTCGGATTTAAATAACCAATTGGGTTTGATATGTCGTTAAACCAAATCAACCAATCGACTAAAGGTGGCTATAAAAATATTCAGTCAAGTTAATTATTAAATTATTATTATTAATTAACTAGGATATTTTTCTTGAAAAACAAAATCCTACTATTCTTATAAAGCAGCTGGAAACGGCAATAAAGAAACTGCTCTAGGCGAAATTCTAAGTATAAATTTAAAGAAGCATATTTATTTTGGGTAGTTTCTCTACCGACTAGGCTATGAAGAATACTTTTCTAAAGAATGTTTGAGTAAATAATTTCTACTATCCTTAATTAGTATGAAAGATTCTGTCTATATTTCTGAGATGAGGTATTACGTACATTATTTACATTATTCGGACTGTTGTCCTCATCTTTGTCACCATACTTATCACAACGTTTCAGCCGTTGTACGCTCCGGCCTTTCTTCAGGTGGTCCTCAAGGACACATAGCACAGTGGATAAAGGCGTTAGTTTGATCCAGTGACAGGACCCAAAGAGTGTGAGTTCAATACCCGGTTAAGGCAGTGGAGAACTTTCAGAGGGAAATTAGCAGGAGATAACTGATAACTGACATCCATCAAATATAGCACGTGGAACTAGAATAGTCTACCCCAGTGAGCGAAATAAAGGGTTCAGTTCGAAATTCCAACCACCTGAAGAAGGCCGGAGCGTACAACGGCCGAAACATTGTGATAAATATGGCGACAAAGATGAGGACAATAGTCCGAATAATGTAAATAATGTAGTATGGAAGAGTGCGATTGGTAATAAAAACGTCAAAAGCAAATATAATATTAATAACAATGTATATCAGTGATAATGCTTCCTATAATAAATTCACAAAATAACGCTATTTAGCAAGTGTCTTTGGGTGCACCCTGACGGGAGATATGAGACAGCTGGTATGAAAACACAAAGAATAGAAAATTTCAAATATTAACCAAAGCAATGATAAGCGTAAAAATCAGCTAGCTGTCTGACAAAAATAGTGTTTCTGGGACATTCTTAGACTATACCATCGACCTAGCTAAATAATTAATCTCGTGATTCTATCCCCTCAGGCAGGTAATATTTTGCAAACCCAAAATATACCACGACTTTCTACGGTTTCTTCTGAAATTCCTTTCCATAAGACACTCACTTGTAACACGTGATTAAAATAATATATTAAAAGCCATGAGCAGATAATAAAAATGTAAAAAATAAATTAGGGTTTGTTTACTCTGTCTTGGGAGAATTTTGAGGATGGTGACTTAGATTTGAAGAGACGACTTGATCTCTCTATCTATTTATTTATCTATGTATGTGTTTACGTGTGTATATAAGAACCTTCATAATTCATAGTTCTCAACATTAATATGAAGAGGAGAAACACATTGAAATACTTTTGATCTCCTCCAATACTCAAATTATTTCATTTTCAATACGAAACAAAAGGCACATAAAGTATTTTAAAATAGAACAGTGAGTATTTTAACGGAGAATTAGGTATTTTTGCCGGTCCCGTCCAATGCTATTTTAAAATATAAATAAATTTTAGAACTAAGAATATATATGTGTATGTGTGTGTGTGTTTTAAAAAAATATTGAAATGTTAAAAAATTAAAATCTTCAGACACACTGTGTTGTATGCTAATATTTAATGTTTTCTTATTGCAATTAGGTTCCGCGACTATGTCCATCATCCGGAGAAAAATAATTCCTGCTTGTTTGTAGCAGAAGCTACAGGAAATATATATATATATATATATATATATATATATATATATATATAGTATTCATTTAGGATAGAGCTTCACCAGTGAGACACTTCCGGTACGTTTGTGTCAGTTCAAATGATCAGCGGATATTATGATCCAAATTGTTGGTAAGCTGTGCAAACGCATTATGAAGCCTTGAGATAGAATAGTTGTATGAGATGTGTAACCAGGATCTAATAAACATGAATTCTCTGTGACTGATATCTTCAGTGGGTGCACCTCAGGTGCATTGTCAAGAGACTCATGATCAAGGGCAAGTTTTGGATTTGCATAGACTGATAATCGGATGTCTAGCCACATCGATGGGCTGTGATACCTCGAATCAGTCTGTGGATGACAATACATACATACATACATACACACATCCATATAATAATAAAAATAGTGTTATAACTGATGCTATATTTATAAGTTAAATTGCTCGATATATTACAAATCATATTAAAATATAGACCTAAAAAAAACAATGGTTTGTAAAGCCCCACCGATATTCAGAGTACTTAAATTGATTACTTGGTGAATTACTTTTCGCATCATTATACTTACAATTAATGCTACATGACGGCAAAATTAATCAGGGTATTATTTAAGCAGATTATCCTTAAATAATCAACAGTGATATTCATTGCAACATTTTTTGACTTGAAAATCACTTTAATAAAAACGATTCATTTTACTAATTCTATTGTTGATGATGGCTAGCAAATTTTACTGAACTAAATTATTCAGTGTTATCTTTTTCTTCATATGAACATGAAGCAATAAAAAAAGAGAAATATGCCAGAATATCCGCAAAAACCATGGCATTTTAAGTAAAATATTTCGATGTTAGTGTTGCAGGATAGCATTGTGTACTGGAGAATTATAAATAGACAGTGCACTGGAAAAGGTCAAAGGTCTACTCTATTATTTGACTAAATTTGCATAAAAGTTCTTAGAAATAATTTTAATTTTAATTCATTAATATAAATTTATAATAAAACATAATAACACTCTATTGACAGCAGCTTATGTCTTTGAAATCGGATTTAATATTCTCAACTCAGTTTTATATAGGTTGGCATATTCACTTTTAAACCACGCACTAATCAATTTATTGCTGTAGATAAATTAAGAAATAATTAGTGAAGTAAACGTTTTAAGTAACGCCGTTAATCGATATAAGTGACCTATAATAATGTGATTTTCGAAACGTAGCTTAGACAAGGAACAAGCCCGAAAGTATGGGGTACCCAGTGAGTGACGAACTTACAATTCCGTCGCAATTGGTCTTGAGTGACAAGCTTGCTAACCATTACACCACGTCGAGGTGCCCTAAGTCGCCTGCAATATGTCACGTAATGAATTCACCGGAAGTGAAAGGCCCGTTTGACTATACAGGAACGTAAAAGAAAATACTTGTACTCCTATTACAGGAGCGTTTACTTTCTTTTCTTCTTTTTTTTTTTTCTTTTTTTTTCCAAAATTATTAGAACAGTTCTAAACCGTTTAAATTTCACGGTTTCTTCTATTTTAATATACTGATTTTCTTAATTTTTCACTTAATAATTGCGTAAGCTCATGGTAAGTTCTACGACGAGAAAATATCCATAGAAATTCCCCTATCGCGTCGTTAAATATTTGCGGTTAACAGCCTTGCCAACATATTTCAATAACAATCGTATATATGAATGATGATCGTTACTTAAAAAAGTCAGGGGTTAAAAATGAAAATATTTTAAATTTACCATTTCACTGAAACAATTCGATCTTCCCTTCCTTCATCTTTCATTCTTTCCTTCTTTCTTTCCTTCATCTTTCTTTCTTTCCTTCATGTTTCTTTCTTTCTTTCATCTTTCTTTCTTGCTTTCTTTCCTTCTGTCCTTCTTTCTTTGCTTCATCTTTCTTTATTTCTTTCCTTCTCTCTTTCCTTCTTTCTTTTCTTCATCTTTCTTTCTTTCTTTCCTTCATCTTTCTTTCATTCATCTTTCTTTCTTTTATTTTTTCTTTCCATCTTCTTTCTTCTTTCCTTCTTTCTTTCCTTCATCTTTCCTTCATCTTTCTTTCTTTCTTTCTTTTCTTCATCTTTTTTCTTTCTTTCTTTCCTTCTTTCTTTCCTTCATCTTTCTTTCTTTCCTTCATATTTCCTTCATCTTTCTTTCTTTCTTTCTTTTCTTCATCTTTTTTTCTTTCTTTCCTTCTTTCTTTCCTTCATCTTTCTTTCTTTCCTTCATATTTCCTTCTTTCTTTCTTTCATCTTTCTTTTCTTCTTTCTTTCCTTCTGTCCTTCTTTCTTTCCTTCATCTTTCTTTCTTTCCATCATCTTTCTTTCTTTCCTTTTTCTTTCCTTCTGTCCTTCTTTTCTTCTTTCCATCCTTCTTCCCTTCCTGCTTTCTATCTTTCTTTCTTTCTTTCTTTCTTTCTTTCTTTCTTTCTTTCTTTCTTTCTTTCCTTCCTTCTTTCCTCCTTTCATTGAAGCCAATTAGTGTCTTTTTCCTTCTTTCCACGTGTTATCGTCCATTATTTATCTGTTAGTTGCAGGAGATAACGAATGCTTCTATCTTCCCTTCCAACATTTAGTCCTTCATTCATTCAGTTTCTTACTGAAAACAAATAGTGTTTTTTCTTCTCCTCCATTTTTCTACGTGATCAAAACGGAATAGTCCATTATTTATTCGATATTGATAAGACAGAACGGTCGCGCGAACTAACGAAGGGCGGTAAAAGCCCAATTATTATAGGATTATAAGCTCTTCGAAAAGAAAACCGAAAATAAAAGCATTACTTTTAAATTAAGAAGAATTGAAAGTTTTGTGCGGTTCTGCTGTCACTTAAATTCAAACGAGATACATTAGATAAAGCTATTGTGAAATTTCAACGTCATAATAAATTAGAATGACTACGGTTTTTTCTTCTGAAATCAGATCTAATGATAGATTTCAGATTTGTAAGAAAACATCTGCTGCGTTCATTTCTATAATTTTCTTTCAACTTTCAACAAGTTTCTCCTGTCGGTTTTGCTCGTTTTAATTTCTTTTCTTTTTCTTTGCATTTTTCTTTATCCTTAACAGAGAACCTATTCTTCTTATTATTCTTCTTAATATTATTTGCAGAAAACATAGCGAGGTTATTGAGTCGACAAACGAATTAATTATAATTCATTTTGATTTATTTTTTATTCTATAGATATCAGTGAATTTATTCGGCAATGGTAATTTCTGAGCCTGCCAACATTTGTTGAAAAGCGATTTTTTTTTCTTTTAAAATTCATTTCTAATGTTTTCGTTTGCTTTCTGGTTTTCCCTCTCAGACTTTCAAAACATAATCTTTTTGTTGCTTACATTTTTTTGCACCCGTCGTCTTCCTTCTTTTCCGATTAATTTTCAGCTCGCATTGTTCATTTTGTCACTGTTGTTTCTTTCAAGTTTTCATCACATGTATCATTTGTCTTTTTGTATTCTAAGGAAGGCGTAAGAATTCTCGACGTCAGACATTGAAATCAACGAAAAAGCGAGTGGATAAAGAACAATATGAGAGAAGGCTAAGTAAAAAAATAAAAAAATAAAAAAAAAATATGGAAAACAAATGAACGAACTCCAATCGGGAAAAGACACATATTCGAGAAAACATTTCAAGTAAAATAGAATTAAAAAACTTCGTTGAAGTTTGATTTAGTAGACAAACCTGCATTCAAACCTGTATCTCGTGCCATTATTGTCAGAAATAAATTGATGAACACAAATACACAGGGCTTGATTCCATATGTTCAATCTGAGGAAAATTCGAAATTCGAAATTCGAAAACTTGCTAAGTTTTTAATTATACCAGTTTACGTATTTTCCAGAATCACATATGATTAGATTTTCCAAGGCAATATGAAGAAGTGATGCCTAATTTGACAGAGTTTATAACTACAAATGCAATAACCAGATAATAAGCACTCCTGTCTCTTAAATATAATAAGTATTTACAAATGTTACGCATATATAGTGGCATGTTGGAATAATCAAACCTGACGTTTTGGTTCAAGCAATATTTATAGAATTCCTTCAAGTATATATATATATATATATGTGTGTGTGTGTGTATGTGTGTGTGTGTGTGTTTGTGAGTGTGTGTTTGCGTGTGATAGGACAGATATTTGAAGATATATTCATGGATGTGTAGTATATTACAAAAACACACATAAATATCAACAGTAAATATAGGATTTAATAATATATATATATATATATATATATATATATATATATATATATATATATAATTATTTATATATTATATGTGCGGTACTTATTAGAAAGCGCTCAATATCAGAGATAGTGCTAACATATTTGGTTGGATTGATGTGAGTTTGTGACCCTGGGTTTCAGGCTTTTGCGATCGTCAGACAAACTTAATGTGACAAACTCATATCAATCCCACCAAATACACACACACACACACACACACACACACACACACACACACACACACACACATATATATATATATATATATATATATGAATTTATTGAAAACAAAGTAACTATTATCAACAAACTAAATGTCCTTAACAACTAGAAGAATTTAGGAAACGCTATTGTATTCATATTGTCAACTGAAATTTAAGTCAAGTACTATTACGTGTAGAACTATTGTTTTTATATTTGTGTACGTTGGCTTGGGTGATTAGTAATTCTGTTAGGAATGGTGATATTGGGAAAAAGCTGGGCGGAGATTAATATTTGGATATTTTTCAGTTGATTAATATGAATATAACAGCATTTTCTAAGTGTTTCTAGTTGCTAAGGACATTTTGTTTTGTTGTTAATTGTTACTTTGTTTACAATAAATTAATTTCGTTTTTGCCATGAAACGTCCATATTGGACGAAAGGCATCGGCAACTAATACAGTTTTCCTATTGTATTTTACTTTTATATATATATTGTCTTTTTCTACAGGTTTTTGACATATAGTGTGTATGCAAGTGTGATTTTGCGTGTGTTCGTGTCTGTGTAGCGACAAATCAAGGCGAATATGACGTAACTATATATTTTCATTCCAATTCTTGCATTTTATTTCAAATACCTCCTTATCCCCACTCATTACAAGCCTCTGACTCATACAGTTTTTTTAGCGGATGTTGCTTCAATATGAAATTCTTCATCTTTGTAATCTTTAAATTTATACACGCTACAACAAAATCGTTTTTCGTTATTCGTTGGTTCTGTGCATTAACATGTTCCAACCTTTATGGTGATAAATTCTCTACAAATTTCCCTTCAATTTAATTAATTCTTCACTTTTCCTAGTAAGGTTTCGTTCATTTCCTCTGAATTGAATTCGCATCATTTCTTTAATTCATTGCTTCTTTTGTCGTTCTATCATTATTTTCTGTATTTCCATGTTTCTATTTGTTTCCAAACAACATATTTGTCTATATATAACTTGTTCTCTTCATTATGTCTTCTCTTGGCTCCTGATTTCTACGTGTATACTTTCTCTCTGTCTTTATTCGAACTTTTTTTTTATTTCTTGCCTTTATGGATTTTCTTTTGAAATTAGCCATCGACACCTCTTGTTATGATCTCACTTTTTGATTTCATCCTTTTACCCAAATACTTCTTTCTTTCTTTCTTTCTTTAAATATATTGTTCATCCATTTCTTTGTGAATTTTCTTTTCTTTTTTTGGTTTTTACTATTTCTCTCTTTCTTTTTCCTTTCTTTCTTTATTTCTTCGGCGGGGTTTTATTCCTACTTTCTTCTTTTCGTTTTTCTATTCTTTCTTCCTTTTTTTAATTTTCTTATTCTTTCCTTCTTTCGGCCTCATTTAATTTCTTGTTCCTTTTTTTTTTCTTTCATCTTTTTTCTTTATGTATTTATTACTTCTTTTGTCATTCGTTTATCTTTCTTTGTTTCACCCTTTCCTTCTGCCTATACGTCGTTGAGAATAACATATCAAGTCACACACGCGCATGCACACACACAAGCGCACGTGCATACACACACACATATGTGCGTGTGTATGTAGGAATTACGAAGAACAACTTTATTATATTTTCCACACACAAACACAAAGACACACACACACACACACACACACACACACACACACACACACACACATATATATATATATATATATATCAAATTATACGTGGGCAGCAACCTTTCTTTCAAGCATTTTTTCATTGAAAACGGCCACCAAGAAAGATTTAATTAATCTTTTATTGACTTTCTCCAGCATTCTAACATTATTTTGTTCTTCAGAGGTTAAAGAATATTACAATTGTCCAAAGTTCTTATTGTTCCGAGCTGATTCTCTAGTCATTATCAAGGATGTTGTTTTGGTATTGTGAGTTTCTTGTGTTGTCTTCTACATAATAGCTTGTCTGTGTGGCCATTTGCGAAGAGGTTTTTACCTTTTGCGGAGGTTACGTGTTATGTGTGATTAGTTAACCTTAACACCGTCTCCATTGCAAAATAATGTAAGTTATTATACGAGAGAACAAGATTTACTTAGTAATGGTTCCCTAACAATGAGATGTTTATATCTATGTCAGTAAGTCATTTTTGTGTTATCAGCCAGAATTTTAAATGTTCTTGTAAATTATGGGTGAATAAATTTTTATCAATCGCACTCTGCTTCGAGAGGAGACATCTAATGCGTCTAGTTAAGGATGTAGTGGTGTGTCCGATATTGTTATTATTTATTAAATACATTTCCTCCGTTACCAATTATCCACTATTTACCAGTGGAAACGGCGTGGTAAATGTTTTCTAAAAACAGAACTGATTGCACAGGTCAACCCATCCCGCGTAACACGGGATCATCGAAAAAGGCATATATTCCTGTGCAGATATCCACACAGCTAAACTATTATGTAGAAGACAACCCACAAAATACAAAATACCAAAATAACATTCACTGATAATGGCTATAAAACTAGCCGAAAGCGCTCGGAATAAAAAAAAAATGGTAACTCTTATATTTTTAACTCTGAAAATGGAAATATATGAGAATCCTGGAAAAACTCAATAAAAGATTAATTAAATTTTCCATGTTGGTCGTATATATATATATATATATATATATATATATATATATATATATATATATATATATTGAAAATGTTATAGTTTTTCCAACGAGAGAAAAATGTATATTTAAAAAGAGAGAGAGAGAGAGAGTATGCTGATTCCGTATTTTAAGACAGTATGTATATATGGGGTTAGAATATATCTATGCAGACCAACAGGATCACGCACGCACACAAAGACAGCAAGACATCTCTCATCAACACCTCTCAAACCAAACCTAATGTTTGGTTTTTATTAACACTTCGGAAGAAATCCACTTTTTCCAACGGTCCAGAAAAGAGTTGAAAGCTCGCTAACAAATGCAGAAAACGAACAATGAGTCCTTAAAGAAACCTAAGGAAAAATTATTCCTTTTAAAAATGTATTCATATTTGTTTTTTGTATAAATGATTCATGAATTTATAAATTATATTTGCACCTTTTAATTGAAATTAAAATAACTGATCCAACGTGCAACTCTCGGATAATAAGTGTGACATTACTGTAACTATTGAAAAATATAGTTCATGTAATATTCACGGAAAATCTACCAGTAAAAAAGAATTCTCTTATTGCTATTTTGTACAAAAACGCACAACCTTAAAACTTAAATTCAAACTCAGCGTTGCGACCACACGTTCCAAAACAATAACACATTTCTCATAGCATTTTTTTGGATTACATCTGTATTTTCGTTGTCCTCTTATTCCTGGCAAGTAAAAACAAAAACAAAATCTACTTTCATACCTGATGATGTCTGTAGGAACAGACGAAAGCTTGTAAAAAATTAAAAAGACCTTATGCAACTGGAATTTATAAACAGGGATCATATCATTCATATAGACGTTCAGGGTTGGTTTATCATATTTATGTGTTTGCGAGGATGTATTTTCGCCATTTAAATCATCAACCTCTATATTTGTTTTTTGTATGAATGATTCATGAATTTATATATATATATATATATATATATATATATATATATATATATATATATATATTACACTGCATATATATATATATATATATATATATATATATATATATATAGCTACACTGCATCAGCTAAAGCGAAGGATTATAAAATCTACAGTGCCCAAACGCATTAACCTACTTAAATTGACTGAAATGAAAATTGATCTCTCTAACAAACCTGATGCTGCACTTGATTCTGGGGTAAGTAACAGTCTAACTCTCTGCTTTCGGGCGGAGAGGAACGCGGGCGAGGCTCCGGCGAAGGGCAGAGTCTCGTTCGGGTTGGTTGACTGCCCCTGAACCCGTTTATGCGGATTCAAAGAGGGAATATTTTGGGCCGAGCCTACGGGCTCGGAAACCCCACGTTAAACCCGGCCTTGTGCCATATTTAACCCTCGTGGGGGGTGGCTAAATATTACTTGATTCTGTAAATATTACCAATATATCCAATCATCTTGGAAAGCTCTGCGTGATGCAACATATTCTACATCCTTGGAGGTTCTTGGCCTGCCATATTGTAAACATCAAGACTGGTTTGATGACAATAATACAGAAGTTCAGCAGCTTATAGATCAATTGCACTCTTCTCATAAAGCATGGATTAAGGACAAGAACTCGTCCGATAAGCACTCGTCTTACAAGAAGTGCAAAAAATCAGGTTCAACGAGCTCTCAGGTTGGTGGTCTCAAAAGGCCACTGAACTCCAAGAAGCTTCAAATAGAAAGGATCTAAAGGCTTTCTATGCTGGCCTCAGGAGCATTTTCAGTCCTCAGAAAAGTGGTGTTGCTCCTATTTCCACAGCAGATGGTGAAACTCTTTTGACGGACAAGTCAGACATTTTAAATCGCTGGAAAGAGCATTTCGAAACTGTGTTAATCACCACTTCGGTTACTAATGAGGAAACCATCACATCAATTGAGCAAAATCCTGAAATTCCGGAGTGGTCTAAGAACCTACTTATTATGAGGTAATTGACTCCATCAATCAAATCTCATCTGGAAATCACCTAGTTCTAAGGATCCTATTCTACTCGAAGTGTATAAGCATGGTGGCTAAAAGTTGGTAAAAAAGTTATATCTCCTTTTTGTGGAGACATGGAAGGCAGGCTGTGTTCCACAGGATTATAAAGACGCCTTTATCAAACACCATTTCAAAAACAAGGCTTCCACGTGTGTCTGTGATAATCATCAGGGGATATCACTACTTTCAATTGCAGGCAAAATCCTAGCAAAACTGATTCTAAACAGAATCATTATACACCTTGTTGACGACATCTATCCTGAATCGCAGTGTGGTTTTCGTTCGGGTCGGAGCACCATTGACATGATATTTTCTCTTCGTCAGGTTGCAGAGAAGGTTGGCGAGAAAAACCAAGAGTTATACATGGTGTTTGTGGACTTTACGAAAGCCTTTGACACTGTGAATCGAGAGGCTCTTTGGCGTGTCTTGAGGAAACTCGGCATCCCTGAAAACATGCTAAAGTTCATCATCTGCTTTCATGGAGGAATGAAAGCTAATATCGTGTCTGATGGTATGATGTCGGAATCCTTTAATGTCACAAATGGCACCAAGCAAGGTTGTGTCATGGCCCCTATCTTTTTTGCCTTTTTCTTCTCGGTGATGCTAAAATATGCATTTGCAGAAACAGAGAGTGGCGTCAAGTTTCAGTTTCGAACAATCAGCGCTTCAAAGCCAAGACCCACCTTCGTACGCATATTATTCGTGATTTGTTGTTTGCTGATGATGTGGCTCTTGTAGCGATATCGTGCGAGGAGGCCGAACATCTAATAAATCGTTTCTCTGCTGCATGTAAAGCATTTGGTCTTACACTTAGCATAAAGAAAACTGAAGTTGTGCACCCACCTTGTCCTATTCCGAAGCAATTGCGTGTTGAGAAACAAAAACCACCAGACTACACATTTCCAGAGAGACCATTGAAAGTAGAAGACATCCCTCTTAATTATGTAAAGTCTTTCACCTATCTTGGTAGAAAAGTCAATTACAGTGGAACTTTAGATGTGAAATCATGCATCGGATTGTTAAGGCTGCCAGTGCTTTCGGCAAACTTCGCCATCGCTTGTGGAATGAGCGGTGTATTTGACTGGATACGAAAATTCGGGTTTACAGAGCTGTTGTACTTGCCATCCTTTTGTATGGCTCAGAGTCATGGACTCCATACAGGTGCCATATACGCCAGCTAGATGTTTTCCATAAAAGCTGTCTACGTGCAATCTGTGGAGTTAAGCTTCAAGATAGGACATCTAACGTAGACCTGTTTAATAGGTGTAATATTGGAGGAATCGAGACTTTTATCATACAGTCTCAGTTACGGTGAACTGGTCTTCTCTTGAGAATGTCTGATGACAGGATACCAAAGATCCTAATGTACAGCCAGTTAGATCAGGACTACAGGAATGTAGGACGTCCATGGCTAAGATACAAAGACAAGCAAAAAGCAACTTGTCAGCTGTCAATATACCACATAACACCCCTGAGCGCTTATCCTTGGAGCGGGTAGAATGGAGATCAATGTGTTTTAGTGAACTCAGCAATTTCAATCTGCTTGTCTGAATCATCTTCAAGAAGCGAGAGCAAGATCTAAAAGCTCAACCAATCTGACAAAGATCTCATCTCACAATCCTCCACTTGCTCCATGTGTGGCCTCCTTTGTAAATCACTAGCGGGTCTTAAATGCCACTTACGATTAACGCATAAACTTTCATCACTGAATCAATAAGCTGGCAGATCCTCATACGTCGAAACCGACGGAGAGTCTATTATATATATATATATATATATATATATATATATATATATATATATATATATATGTATTGTTGCGTTCTTCCTCTATGTTTTATCGTTGTTACATTTTCCCTTCTTTTTTTATTTGCCTTTATTTTTTTTTTTGTTTTTTTCTTTCTTTGTCTTCTTTTATATTTCTTTCTTCATTCCTTTCTCCCTTTCTTTCTTTCTTTCTTTCTTCTTTTTCTTCCATCATTCATTTTTTCATTATTTCTTTTCAGTTAACCACTATCCTTTTTATATTTCTGTCTCTTTCTTATTTTCCTTCTGTTTTTATTTTCTTTTCTTACCCCATTTCTTTGTTAAAGTCTTCTTTCTATTCTTCATTCTTTTCTCTTTTTATTTTCTTCCTTCTCAGAGTTAATGTCTTTCTTTTGTTCTTTTTTTCGCTTTTCATGAAAATAATTCCTATTTATTTTCTCGTGTATTTTTTTTTTTTTTTTTTTACATCTGTAATTGCATATGCTCCTCTCATGTTACAAACTTTTTGTTTCATAACATCTTTCGTTATGTAGCATTTTGCATTATCCTGTGTTCTACTTTTCTTATTTCTCAATCTCACCCCTCTTCCAGCATTTCTGGCTTAACCTGGTAATTTTCTTCATACATAAACTACAGAAAAATCGAAGTCATGAACTCAATCTTAAAGCACTGAAAACATAAAAAATAATACAAATGTTTGTTTCTTTTTCCGCAGATGCAATCCTCATTAAATTTTAACTTTCTGATTCGAATATAATTCTTTATAAAATTATTTCTGTAGTTGCCAATTCCACAATTTTTTCCTCGTTTATCTGTAGCCTGTTTAGTATTTTATCTTGCTCACAAATACTGTTTATTTGTTTGTTCTTTTTAAGCATTACACCCCAAGCAAGGCGGGAGTGTAACTAGCACACATGGGGTAAGAGAGAGTGAAATTAAGAGTAAAGCGCGGTGTTTGGGAAAAAAGATAAAGAGAAGGACGGACATCAGCATCAAGACATCAGAACATGTCGATTGACATTACATTTAAATCTTTGAAGATTATAGCAATCAGAGAAGCAAGTAAAAGGAAGGGTGTTCCACTGTCGGGAGATGCAAGTTGTTGGAGAAGAAAAGACGCATATATTCAACTGTTTAAATTAATGCAGTTTCGGAACCAGTGAAAATATCTCCTCAGAACAGTTGCCATGAAAATATTTGTAGAAAAGACAGAGGGAAGCCACATCACGTCTGTTAGAAAGTGACTAGAGTCGATATGACAGGTCAGGACCTATCATATAACATATCGGTCTTTGGATTTTGTCAAGAAAACCTCGAGATGTAAAAGCGAGGGTATCAGATCAGTATTAAGTAACAGTGATCAATGAAACGACGAATATTAGATTTGTAGAGCTGAGGGATGAACCAGAAAAAAAACTTCTGGCGCGACAAAGAAAACCAAAATGGCATACGGTCGATGTACCTGTTATTATTATTGATTACGTAAAGAGTTTTAGCTGTATTAATAGCCGTATTCAGATCGGAGTGAATCATTTTTTTAATTCCCCATTATACTCTTTTAGATCAGATATTATTCAGACATTACTTCTACTCTCTATTTTCTAACTTATATATCTACCCCCTCTCTCTCTCTCTCTCTCTCTCTCTCTCTATATATATATATATATATATATATATATATATATATATATATATATATATAATTATTTTTATAAAAAAATTATAATAAATATATTATAAATCATTCGAATAGCTTTTGTTTCAACACACTCTGTTTCACTTGATAAGACACAGAGTGTGTTGAAACAAAATGGCTATTTTGTAGTGATTTTATAACATACTTATGTTATAATTTTTTTTTTTTAAGAATAATTATATCTGCTTTACTTTTGTGTTGAGTACTCTTTTAAGAATAGTAATTGTTGGTTATTGAATTCATTCTGTATATACCAATTATATACCAATATATATATATATATATATATATATATATATATATATATATATATATATATATATATATATATATATTTGCATGTTTCATTAAATACGACAATGTACTACGGTTATGCTTTTTATTTAATTTTTCTTGTGTTCTGAAAAGAGTTTTCTTTTCTGGACAAAGGGTGTGCAAGAGCAGTTCAAATGTTTTATATTTCCGAGCGCTTTCGGCTATACATTTAACCATTATCAAGGATGATTCGATTTTTCAGCTTAATTGAGTGTGTGCGTTCTGTGTATGTATTAGTGTGTGATAGGGATGTTTTTAATTTCCGAATACGGTTAGCACATTGTAGTTAATATTGTTAAGAGTTGGTTTTTTCTTCGTTATTATTAAAGCTTCCATTATTTTTAGTCTTTTTTTTTTTCAAGTGGATGTACTTAATATATTTGTGTTTTCTACTAGTATGTTCCTAATGGAGTCGGGCAAATTTGTGTGTGTGTTTAAATGGGTTCTAATGGAGCTGTCATCAGATAGGTGTAACGTAAGGCGTCTGGATAAGCATTAAACATCTTTTTAAATTCACACACACACACACACACACATATATATATATATCTATCTATCTCTCTCTCTCTCTCTATATATATATATATGTATTTTAATTTATATTAATATATAATGTAGTATTTATCAAACATTATTTATTTTTATTTTAGTGCGTACACGTATTTCATTGTATATTCCTGTTTTTTCTATTGTCATTAATTTCTCAAGATTAGTATCATTAAATTATTTTATCATTATTTTCTATTATTATTAATTGCTTCTTAATATCTGGTCCCCTTTGATACATACTACCAAAGATAAATACAACTCCTGACATAAACCGTACCTGTGTCCTTTTTCTGTCAATCGAACCGATTCTATTGTGTTCTCGCGATCACGACAAATAAAAATAAGAAAACACTAATTTCCCATGATTTCCTAAAAGAGGGAAACCATCCTACTCTCAATAATTCTAGCATCATTCTCTTTTTTTTTATTTAATTCTAATCTACAGAGCACATGGATTTTTGCCGGTTTTACGCAAATATCACTTATGTTTAATTTAATTTCAATAGTAGATTTATCACTTGCATATATTGTATTCATTAAGTATACTAAACGCTAAACAAAAAGAAACATTCAACACCACATTAAAATATTTCATATATCTACCGAAATCGTACAAGCGAATTATTGTGTTAAATAAACCTTACTATATATGTATAAATGTCTCATTTTCTGTTTAAGATGTATATATGTATATTTTGCTAACCGAAAATTGGAGTTAAACAAGGCTCATTATAACGTTATAGCCAAAACGAGAATAGGAAGTGGCTGTCAGTACATTTTTTTCTTAAATCGGTGAACACCAAAACATGATACCGATTCACGTGTCCATGTGTTTCAGCAAGTATTAAAGCAGTTTTGGATTGACTCTTTTACCTACCGTTTCGCGTAATTTTACCTATTTTTAATGAACATTTTCATTTTTCTCATCAGCTATTATTCCCGCCCTACCTGAACGGTCAAGTTGGATGGTTTGTGGATTTTGTTTTCCGCTATATTCTATTGGTTATTATCGAAATTTACATATTTTGAACACAATACTATTTCTTGAATTAAATATTTCAGACCCAACTGTATGCCTTCAACTACAGAAAAAATATACTTTTGGTCATTTTGCTTTGTATATATATATTATTGGTAGGTTTACTATAAATAGTTATTTTTTGTAATTTTACTATAAATAGGTATTTTTGGTTTGTTGGTTTTCTTTAGTGGTATATCAACTCTCCGTATATATATATATATATATATATATATATATATATATATATATATATATATATATATATATAAAAAGAAAGAACAGTAAGATATATAATCCGGTGTTCTTATAGATATTTTATTTTTACAAAATAGTGCTCAATGTAAATTTATTAGAGCATTAATATTATAATTAATTGATTTAAAATATAATTTTTCCGCTACACAGTTCTAACCATGTTTCTTCAAATTTTTTTTACATGGTTAGAACTGTGTAGCGGAAAACATATTTTAAATCAATTAATAATATATATATATATATATATATATATATATATATATATATATATATATAAAAAAAAGGTTAAATATTAATATTCCATGGTCATAATTATTCCATTGTAATCGTAAATACGATCCAAATTATGACCATGGAATATTAGTGTTTAAGCCTTTTTATTATATCCTTACTCTGTCCTGGACATTGAGTTCTACCTGATTCTATCCTCTTGAATTTTTTTATTCTAAAAATATACATGTATGCGTATGCACCTATGTATATATATTTATATATATTGTATATGTATGTGTATATTTACCACTAATATTATCTATTCATCTATCTATCTATATCTATCTATATATATATATATATATATATATATATATATATATATATATATATATACCTCATAGAAATAGAAATATGTTGTAAGTAATTTTATGTTTTCAAGTACAGATATATTGTACATAATTTCATATTTTCAGAGGAAAGGTGTATTTTTTTTATATATAGTTTGTAGATCTTGAAATGTATTATTTGTAATTTTACTATAGAAATGGACGTTTATATATATATTTAGTATTGCATTGTCATTTTGCTACAAAATTTTATTGTTGCTCATTTTATTATAAAAATGTAGTGTTGATTTTTTGTTTAAGTGTTCTCTATTGCCTATAGCTGACACTCAAATAGTTGCTGCCACCCCTGGTCTGTGTGGATCTGGGGATAGCAACTTTTAAGCGCCTCAAAATCTCCAATTTCCTGATTTTTTGCTGATTCTTGCTGTTGGATTTAGTTTAAGGTCATACCTATGACTAGAATTATCAAAATAAAAACGTTCTCTTTTGAATCTAACGAATCAAGAAAACAATTGTCGTCTCTGGCACCATTTCGATTAACGGAACATATCCTTTTGGCTGTTTCTACACTTTTTTCCTGAAATAAAATAGTCTCAAATAACGATAATGCATCCATTTCCATCTCTTGTAAATTTTCATCGATAAAACGTGTATAATGCAAAAATCTACACACCAATCATTCAGATAAAATACAGTTTAAATGTGTCTTTTTTAAGAATATGCCTACACTACAGTTAAAATATTTAAGGTGACCCGTAGTATCTTTTTAAATGTAGGTGCTTTGAAATTAAATAAGAGAAAATATTATACATGGTTAGAACAAAGTGAGGCCTCTTGTGAAAATATCCTCCTTTAGACATGATTATCGCAGTACAAGTTTTTATCATTCGTTGCAAAAGTTTCTCAAAATATAAATTTTATAATTGATTACATTCTTTTTTTAATGACTCTTAAAGTTCTTTTTCCTTTATTTACTCTCCTGTCAAGTTCATCTCATACAAAATCTGAGGGTTGCTCCAAACCTTTGAACTGCAGTGTATATATCACATATTACAGTCAATAGAATCACATATCCAGACGCCACCTGTTGAAAAATGCTATGATAATTTTTTTGTCAACAACATAACCTTCAAG